ATCTGCAGTCGAATGCTCTACCACTGAGCTATATCCCCATGGTGAGTATTGATGATCGTAATTTTGAAAATCTTGTAAAAAAAGAGAGAATGATAAAAACAAAACGTTAGGGAACATTCGGGATTGAAACAGGGACCTCTTCATTAGCAGTCGAATGTTTTATCACTGAGCCATATCCCTCTAGGTTATTTGGAGGACATCAATTCAATCCAAATGATAAGAAAGAAAGAAAAAAAAGAAAAAGAACAAATAGACTATGTCACACTTGAATAATCATATTTTTCTCCAACAATAACAATATAACTGTCGACGTGTCTGTTCAATAACATATTAAAAATGGTTATAGAGAATAGAATAAAACTTATACCAACATTAACACCAACATTCGAACAATGGAAATCATTACCCATCTACTTAACTCAACATGAAACTAGGCTTCAACGACGTTTTGGTGCTGTTAAAATTGTTCCTCCTAGTCGATGGGTACCATTAATAAAAAATCCATATGAATTATGTAATTTAAAAATGTATATAAAACAAGAAATAACTGGTTCATCTCATCAGCCAGATGTTTTTTATATAAAAAATTCAAAAATATCTAAACGACATTTTATGAGTTATAATGAATTTAAAACAATTGCTGAAAGTGATACATATCGTTTGGAAGATACATTGAATTGTAATATTAATGATTATTTTTGGTCTACGATTTTGAATAATATATCTTTGTGTGTACCAAATATTGATGATAGTTTATTTTCAACAAGAGAAAATGTTTTTAATATGGCTAATTTAGCATCATTACTTAAATATTATCCAGAAAAAATTTCAGGTACAATCTGATCTATGCAAAACAGATTGCATATATTATAAAAAAATAAAGATTTTAATGTTAATTATCTATAGATTTTCGAGATTTTTCTAATGAAAATGAAAATAAATACAATTTGGTGAATAATAAAAGAAATTATTATAAACTAAATTTGAATAGTAAATCATCTTATTTTATAATAATTTAAAATCAAGGTTCTTTTTTTTTGACAGATATATTACTAGAAACAAAAAACAAACTTCTCAGATTTTTATATTTAATCATTCTGAAATTACAATTATTCTACTCAAAACTCTAAATCAATTTTTCAAAAAATTGTTATGAAAAAAAAAATCAATTGTTTGCTTTTAATCTTGTTCTATAAAAAAAAAAAATATTTTTCGAATCTTTTTGTGAAATTCACATATATTTTCGAAAAAGTCAATGAGTAAATTTTAAGTTGAAGTTTTGCAACTCGTCTCTTCCTATTATAGACCTTAGCCATCAGAACAAGATACATCTAACACTTTTATCAGAAAATCCTTAGCAACAGATAACGAAGCTAAATGATTTTAACGGCAAGACTTAGACTGTTCTAGAAACTTTTCAAGTTTTGTTTCAAATTTGAATGATTGGAGTGTGCTAAGTAGATAGAAATATATATATTTAAAATTTCAATGATGTTAATAATGTTAAATTTGAAAGAATAAAAAGCAATAGTAAAGAATTTGAAAAAAATTCTTCTGTTTGAAATATAGAAATAAATAAGACGATTTACTTCCTTCAAAACATCTATGACTTCTACATTTCAGAGCCAAAACAAAAGACTGTACTAACAAGTTTTTTTTTTTTTTTTATTATTCTATTATCTAGGTGTAACAACATCTTCACTTCATATGGGTATGTGGTCAAGTACTGTTGGTATTCATATAGATGACCATGATCTAATATCATTCAATTATCTTCATCATGGTGCTCCAAAAATTTGGTATATAATACATCCATCATGTTATATAAAATTTGAAGAATTAGTTAATAAATTAAAATTATTTTCTGATATATCATCGACTTGTTTATCACCACTTCAACATAAATCACTTCTTGTTAAACCATCATTTCTTGATATGCATTCAATAGAATATTATCAAGTTGAACAAAAAATTAATGAATTAATAGTTATTTTTCCTGGTTCATATCATTTTTATTTTGATACAGGATTTAATTTAAGTGAAACAGTTAAATATGCTTTACCATCATTTTTTGAATTTCAACGATGTAGTCCACGACTTTGTTCATGTATAATATCATCATCAACAAGTGTTATTAATCTTAATCGACGATTTTTTACAATTGATATTCTTAATCAATTTAAAAAAGAATATTTAACATCAAAATCTGTAATATGTATTGATTTATCAGAAGGTAAGTTAAAAAAAAAAACAAAAAAATAAAAAATAAATATTTCATTTCAGACGATGATAATAATAATAATACAAATAATGCTTCTCCTATCGAAATAACAACTGCACCAACGTCTCCTATTGCAAATCAGGATAATATTACTCGAAAAGATGTAGAAACAGAAGTTGTACAAACTGCTAGTCAATCTAATATATCACTTGATCATTATACGGATCCACTTTATTCATCTTGGTCATCAACAAATAGTGATACACAAATATCACCTGATTCAATGCCAACAATTGATAATCATAATGATTATGAAAATATTTCGAATATATTGGAAGATATGTTATCAAAAACAAATTTCGATTCATTAGAACATGATTATTATTCAAAACATTATCATTCATATGATCCATACTCATCGTTTTTTCATAGTTATACACCATCTCTACATCCATATTTTTTTAAACCATATCCATATTCTTCTGTTCGTATATGTACTAGCAAACAACGTCGTAACCAACGTAAATGTTATGAATGTCGACAAAAAGGACATATAAGAAAAAATTGTCCTTATTTTTCTCATAAAAAAAAAAATAAAAGAAATTTTTCAATTTAAAATTTCTTGAAATAGAGTTGTCATATTTTTCTTTTTTTTTTTTCTTTTGTAAATTCAAAGTCATCAATCTAATTATTTAATTCTAACGTAGCTATCGTAAGATTTCTACTTTGTATATATTTTTTTTTTCTCACTATATGGTTAGTTATCTTTGGAGATTATTCGACTTTCTTTATCCGTTAATTTCTCTTTTTAATGCATTATTTTGAAAGGTAAAAAAATTTTAAATTCAACTTTATTTCAAGTCTCACGATAGTCATGATGTTTTATATACATAAGTTTTCAGTTTTGTTAGTTCTATTCTTTGAAATATTATCACAATCCAACTGAGCAAACAACAATCGATTAACAATAATAAAAATTAATTTGAAAAACAAAAAAACTTAATATTTTATTGGATTTATTTCGATTATTATGTTACATCTGATCCATCAAAATTCCAAGATTAAAGAAAAACAAAACAGCTAGACAAACTCGATCTCAATAATTTCATTTATTATATATTCATGCATGTAAACTCTTCTTTTTTTTTTGTTTCTTTCTTTATTCTTTTTGTTTTCCAATTATTATAAATAAATTACATCATTTATATAGTACATACAAAAAAAGGTGACATATATATATTGAGTCAAACTTATTTTCAATATAATTAATTCATTATTGTGAAAAATACAAAATAAAATAAATATGAAAATGTAATCGAGTAAATAATTGAATTCATACAGACAGTGACAAACGCTAGTTGAACACAATTAGACCATGACCTATGTAGTTGATATATGATCATAGATTGTATATTAATAACAACGCTTGTTACAATATTAATAATTATTACCTTATTGTATTTCTGAAGGATTAAATAAAAGAAATATATTCTGATAAAACCTTTTTCTCTATGATTAATAACAGCAATTATATCGTATTTTGAATTATAATCTCAGAGAAATTGTGCTAATAGTTATTTTATTTCTTTGATTAAATTAGAACTTAAAACATAATTTATTCTTTTTGTTTCATGATTGTTAAGTTTTATAATGTATATTCTTTCTGAATTATCTCACTCTTGTATTATTGAAACACTTTTTAAAATATTTGACCTTGCAAAATTTGTTCTCTTATTGTCAAATTGAATATTATTATATTCATATAAAGATATTTTGTACTAAAAAAAAACATATGAATTATTCATGAGCAAAATGATTTCTGTTTATTGTCACTGTTCATATAGTTTTTTATTTTTCATATCAAATCTTTCATTTATATATTAATTTCATATAAATGTGAAAGAATGTAATTTTTTATATTATAATTTCACAACGAACACCTGTAAAACCTTTTTGACATGTACATTTAACTTGATTATCATTTGTTATTGTACAATTTCCATTATTTTTACATGGATTTCTTAAACATGCTACAAAAATACAATAAATAAAATTTTCAAAATATAAAACCAAAAACAAAAATATTTTCTTACTAGTTATATTTAATCGATCTTCACATAATAAACCAGTAAAACCAAATTGACATCGACATTTATAACCCATAGTAGAATTTTCAGCTAATTGACATATACCACCATTTTCACATTGAATCCAATTACATATATTCGTATTTCCTTTGATTAGAAAAAAAAACAACAAATATTTCAACAGTTTTCTTTTCTAATTTTTACCTTGAGGAATAATAGCAATAGCCATACAAAGACATGAAAAAACGACTATCGATAATGGACTACGGAAGAATGTCATTCTGAAATGAAAAAAATTGAAATTGAAAAATCATATATAACAATATAATGAAAGGATTATAAAAAGAATGAAATGATCTTATTTGTTTGTGATTCATTTTCATATTAATTTCAAATTTTTATTTTACGATACTATCAATAGAATAGTCTTCTATCGGATCATGTTTTACTTTTAAATTAAAACTGATAGAAAGGTAACTATTTGAATAAGAGTTAGATTTGATGGAATAATATAGACAGTACTGATGATAACTTTTCAAGATGAAATTAATTCTTTGAAAATAAAAAGAAAATTTCAATGCATGATAGAAGAGACAAAAAATAAGAATCATGACTAAGTAAGCATTTCCATAAGAATATTTTTTGATCGTTAATTTTTCATATATCGCATTGTTCAAATAAAGTCAATGGACATTTAGTTCTGAAAGTGGTAAATTGAAGGATAAAGTTCGTCTCAATTTACATTAATTGAAAATAGATAAGACATATGAATAAATGCTAAATCAAATACTTTTGAGATCAATAATTAATAAGACTTATGAAATATTGAAAGGATATGTGTGAAATCAAGATGAATAGAAATTGATATTTATTCTTTCCTAGTCGAAAGGCAAAAACCAGTAGAAATGATTCTAAAATATGTAATTCAAGCGATATATAACCACAAGAATAAGAATGAATCAAAAAATCTGATGAAGGTCATTCCTGTTTTTATCAGAAGGATTTTTTTTTCTGTGAAAACGAAAATTTTTATAAGAAATTTTTCAATATAATTTTTATTTTAACAATCTTATATCAAGATAACATCGGTAGTACATCTTGTATAAAGTAATCAATAATACATAGATGTAACAATACACTTTCGTTCAATAACTTCATTTAGGCATATGTATACATCGTTGGGAGTTTAAAGGATTAGAAGGATCTAATCAAGAGAGATGCAGTAGATTTCAAAAGAAGAGTTTCTTCCTTGAATCGAATATGTTATATATAAAAACATATATATTACTCTATAAAAATATGAGTCCTCTTCACCAAAACTTATTGAATTTTTACACGCAAGAAAAAAAATGCAAAGAAAAAATTTAGATCACTGCCAACTATGACAAATATTATTGATACATGAACACAGGTTTACATTTCGTTATAATATATCATTTTTATTCTCTTTTTTTTTTTTGTTTTAACACACTGAAACTGTTGAGATGGCTATATAAGTAAAAACAAGTTGTAAATACATTCGATTATCCTTTGTAGCAAAGCCAAATGTATAACAATGAAACAAATAAAATTTTCTTATTGAACTATGACATGTTCTTCTTAATCCAAAAAAGAAACATCAATTTTTATTGTCAATAGAATGAAAACAAACAAAAAAAAAACATTTGCTTTTTTTTTAAGAGTGCGCACATTATGATTAATGTATGTTTATTTGCGTCATAGATGACACATCTTATGTCTAATATTCAAATCCACATTTACATCACTTTTCGAATTATTCATATATCAAACAATTTCTAATTTTCAGTTTAATTACAGTTAGCAAAACCTATTCTTCAACTATCAAATGATGTCATATTGAAAATCACATTGTCTCAAATCTATTAGATCTCAATTGAATCGATTCGAAATAGTTCATTTTCCAAAAAAACAAAATAATGACTTGTATATAAAATTGTTTGCATATAGAAAAATAAAACACATGTTAAAAATTTGAATAGAATGTATTCAACTGTGTCGATTTCAAATTACAAAAGTATTGAAATCGCAAACATTCTCATGAAAGGGAATAAAATTTTTTTCTTTATCTTCTCACAAAGAATTAAATAAGTTCTTCAGAAATTGATTTAAATACTATTTCTTCTCGAAAATTATAATTTAATAGTATATATTTTACGATGTACTAAAAATATTTAAAAGCATGTTTTTTAGAGAACATTGACAATTAAATCAATAAGAGGAAATTTATTAGTAGTACAATAATATAAAGTACATACAAAGTGATTAAGTACTTGTAGACAAAAAAGTCTGCTAGAATTTTTACTAATATAGTTAAGATTTATTTTTTTTTTGATATAGTGGTGAAATTATATGAAGTATGTATTCGATGAGAAAATTTCAGAACTGATAAGAAAACATCAACTATTTTTCATATTGCTTTGAGACGAAATATTCTTTTTTTACATGGTTACTCCGGTCTTCTATTTCTATAGAAAACTATTTTGATTTAAGAAGAAGAAGAAGAAGACATTTTTCAAGGTCCAATAGATCGATACTAACTTTCTCCTATTTTTGTTTTTATGATGTTAATCAGGCGCTACAACAATTAATTGCATATTTGCCAGAAATTTGATTTCTATTTTATTTTCTACAATCTTCGATTAGCAGACATGGAATTTAATAGTATATAACACTGTGCAAGAAGGAGATATTGACATGTGAAAAATAAAGATTTATCTCAGTGAATGGATTTGTAGAGGATCTCACTAGTAAACGGTAATAGAATATTGACATTTGCATTTTGAATTTATTCGAATGTTACGACAGATGAAAATTGTAATAGATAGAAGCTCGAAAATAAGAAAAAATGATAGAGAATTAAGCAAAATTTTTAAGATGACTACTATTTATTTTCATGTAAGACTTCATATTTGTTTAGAAGAGTTCATTAAATATTTATATTAATACTCGAGTTTAATGTTTTTTTTATCTAATGAATAAATCATTAAAGCTTACTAAATTATTTCTTCATTATGCTAAGAAAAAAAAAATAGATATATATATATATTTTTGTCTTCATTTTATTTTTTAGCATTGAGATCAAATAATATCACTTAATTATCATAGACTCATAATTTCTCCTTAAAAAAAAAAAAACAAGATTCAAAACATCTGTCCTTGTTCTTAAGAACATATTATTTATTTATAATGAACAATATTATTCCCTAGATAGTCTTTTCCTTGAGAGGACTCTATTATTAAATAAATGTCAAGAATGATAAAAAACATATATATTCATCGAATATGATATTAATAATGTACGTCATTTACTTAGATGATAAAAACTTGTGTATTTTCTTTTTTTTCTAATAATTATTGTTAATGTGACTAAATGATTTTGTTTAGTTCAGATCATGAATTTCTCATCTTTAACATCGGATAGTATTTTAATTTTATTGCTTTCTTTACAACGTATTTGTCGTAATTTATCTAATATACTTAATACATTGGAAGTCGATGTTAATTCATTTCGACGTTTATTAATAGAAGTTTCATCATCAATTCCTGAATCATTATCTTCATCGAATATTGAAGACGAAACAGAAGAAGAAAATAATTATTATTATTATTATGAATTCGAACAAAAAAAAGAAGATTTTTATGAAGAATTATTTGATGAACAACTTGAACCAAAACCATTACGTATTACAACACTTTAAATTTATTCAAATATTTACACTATTTATTTATTTGTAGTTATATTAGTAAGATATTATATTAGATGAAGAATAAATATTTTAAAATAATTTCTGAGATTTTTGTTTTTTCTGTTTTAATTTAACTAATCTTTTTTTTTTTGTTTTGAAAAATATTCACATATTAAAATTCTTCAATTTTGTTTTCATGAACTGTAAAACTGAGGAAAAAAAAAGCAACACTACGAATACGAATAAAATCAAAAATGATGGTGAAGACGAGAGACAGGTCTGAATAAGAACGAAGAGGTCCGGGTCTATATCCCGAGGTTGCGAGTAAAATTAGAGTAAATAATCGCGTAAAATGTTAGTCTTACTCAAAAATTCATCCTTACTAAGAAATTTTTCACCTTCATCAAGACTACTCGCGGTGATCTTACTTAAAACCTTCTTCCTGACTCTCATCACCATTCTTGACCTTATTTGTATTTTTATATGCATTCATTTATGGACACAAAATGTCAAGCTTTTATCATTTTGTCATTGTTAGATTTTAAAAAAAATACGATGCCTCTTTGATTAGTTACTTCTATTTAAAGTTAAATCATCACAGTAACATATTGTTAATGCTTGCGGCAGAATTCAGCAGGGGTGGGATGTAAGCTCGAAAATTTGACAAATGATAACAACTATGATGAATACGTCGTTTTAAACAACCTAAATGTGTGTTTTGTTTAAAGAAATTTTCTATACAAAAAATCAATAGAATTCTATATAACTCAATTGATTAGATACATGATTTTATTTGCTTCACATTGACATGTGGCAAGATAATTATCTGAATTGCACCTTGAACTACAGGTCTGAAGACCTTCTATCTTAGATACTTGTCAAAGAAAATTTCCTTGAAATAGAACACTGTTTTCATGCATTTTGCAAAGATTATGGATATAAAATTAATTTTTTTTTTTTTTCGTCTTATATCATGAAAAAAGAGGTCCGAAATTTTTCGCATTCAATTGCTGAAAACTACAATTCGATAGCTGTTATCTTTATCAAACTATTCAGTTTTCACTCATCTCTCTTTTAATTGAGCGTGAACATAAATGCAAAAGCAAAAATGTACAGATTTTTATTTCTTTAAGATAAATGATCAATTTATATGTCTATTTAAAGAGCGTATTTTACCTAGTATGATAAATTTGTAGTAGAGAAAAGATAATAGTCAATGTAAAGAAACAATATGATATAATGCACATTTAAATACGACATCGTTTTTTGTGAGATATGAAAATAATTAGGCTTGTTTCTATTCTTTTTGCCTATCATTATTGTGTGCATGAGTCTCTTGTTAATTGGCAATTATCATTGTGATTGATCTAGATGCTATCAAAAAGACATATTTCTATATATATATATATTTATATTTACTTAATATTCCAAGAGAAGAAAAAAAGAATACATGTAAATATATATCAAATTTTTTGATTTGTCTTGAAAATAAATTCATAACAAAAAAAAACATGAATTTATTCATAGTCAGTTTGATTTTAACTGATATGTTTTATACAACAGAGTAAAATATAATGAAGTTAAAAAAAAAAAAAAGAAAAGAAAACAACAACGACAATTACATTATCACGAATAAAAAGTTCAAGGAGATTTGTTGTGAATTGTGTTTTTTTTTTTTTTTGTATTGAACAAAGAAAAAAATCATTCATGTCGTTGCCAACGATCATTCCATATTGGTCGTCGTGCTGATGATGAACGACTACTACCATGTATTGATGTTGAAGCTGATGCTGGACGAGAACGTACATTATTACTATTCATTGCATGTGAAGCAGAAGAAGGTCGACTTTGATTATTTGATTTTCTTCCTGATGTAGAAAATGTCGAAGACATTATCGTGGCACTTGATGGTCGACTATTAAGATGAATCTGTGATGGTATTGGTGATGGTGGATATGATACATAACCCATTTGACGATCATAATGAGATAGAAGTTCATCACGTTTAAGAGAACGTGTTGGACGAGTATGTTGAAGACGTTCTAAGATTTTCTTTAACAAAAAGAAAAATATAATATTTCAAATAAAATACTATTGTTTTATTTCAAAAAGTAATTAAAGCTTTCTTTATAATGACACAATAGAGTTATGCCTCAATTGAAAGAAAAAAAATAATGGTGACAAACCATTTCATTTAACGTTTTTTCTTTGATATTCTATTTGAAATTCATATCCTGAGGTCAAATACGGCTGAATGTTAAGTAATACTCTGTTTTAATGAAAAGTAAATAGTGAATAAAACATAATAAAAGATAACCTTTGAACAAACGTCAACATTAGTAATTTGATCAAATATGGAAGACATACGAGCTGTTAGTCAAAGAAAAACAAAGAAAGGAAGAAAAGAACGAACTTTTTTTTTTCTACAGGAAACGTTTTTAGTTCTTACCAAATTTTCACGTTCAATTTTTTGTTGTTGTTTTTGACGATTAATTGCTGATGATGTTAAACGAACTCGACGATAATCTTTTGTATGACCATGAATATAAGGCTGTTGATGATGATGATGATGTTTTTTATCTGTTTCATCAGTAATAATTCGAACATGTTTTTTATTTAATTCTTCTTGAGGATGTACAGGAGTTGGTGGACGACTAGTTGGAACTGATGAACCTAATAAAACATGTCTCATTGATTGAAGATGAAATGGATGATGTTGATCATGATCTGATTTTCGTCGATGATCTTCATGTTTTTGTTTTTGTTGTATTTGATGATGTTCACCACCAAGTGATGATACATCTGTTACATCATGATCAGAAGAACATGATGATGGTGAAGATGAACTATTACTTTGACTTTGTTGACGATGGATAGGTGGTTTAGACGTTACTATACGTATTGATGATATAACTGGTGTTGCTGGTACTGTTGAATTTTCATCATCATCATCATCATAAAATGAATCTCTGGCTTGTGATAATGTTTCATTAGATTTTCCAAGCATATTATACAGAATATTTTATCTGAATAGAAATCGTCTATGTCATTGAGTGTTTGTCTATACATGTATACTACATCGATAATAGATACATATATAGATATATATAACAAGTATTATGAATTAAATTGTCATAGAAATATATGTATTTGATGTATGTTACCCTCTAAAGTGTGTACATTTTTTTCGTTCTGGCTGACTGACTATTCTTGCTTCATATGTCTGTTCACTCGTTATTCTTTTATATTACTTGCTTCTCATAATTTTATGCTCTTCTTTTCTGTTGACTATACATAAAACAAACTACTATTTGATGCATTTAGTCGTATAAAAAAAAAAGAAAGGTAGTAGTTGTCATCATAAAACAAAATGGGTGTTGGTAATTCTAGAGAACGTTATGGATATAATCAAATATATCGATCTCCAATACGACAAAATATTGTTCATCGTGAAAAAAGACGTATAAGAAGTCCATTACGAAGAATAAGAGCAGCTCCAACAGCACAACCTGTTAGACGATTTCAATATTCTCCACATCAATTTCCATATGGTTCACACCATTTTGTTCCACCAATATCTACCTATTCAAAACCTTCGCCACCATTTCAATATAATTTGCCAAAACCTTACAATAATTATGGTGGTTATTCTTACAATAATTATGCTGGCTATCTTAATAATAATTATGCTGGCTACCTTAACAATAGTTATGCTGCTTATCCTTACACACCACCAAAGCCACCTCTGATGATACCGTCACCACCACCACCAGTTCCACCTATGTTGATATCACCAACACAAAAGATTCCACCTATGGTAATACCACCGCCACAACGAATTCAACCTTTGGTACCACCACAACAACTACCACAATTTCCGCCTATTATGTTACCACAACAAGTATCGGAACCTCAACCTATGATGATGCCTCAACAAATAGCACCATCGATATCCTCACCGTATGTATATTCTCCTTATCCTATGAGTATGCCGATGCCACCAACACCATATCCACAACAACAGCCACAAGCTCAACCTATTATAAATAACATAGGAATTTCTCCTCCGATATCTCCAGTTATGGCAAATCCAATCATGCCAAGTCCTGTACCATTTCAAGGAAGAACTGTAAATGCTTTTACAGATTGGACAGGGGGTGGAAAAATTTCTCCTGGTTTTCTTGGACCACCTATTTAATATTAACCTTATTTTCGTGTTAACCTTCATGTATCGTATTAAGTGTAACATTCATTTTCTTTAACTACTGAATTATTGCTTCATTTTCTTTTTATTCGTCTGCAATTTATCTGATCGTTTTTTCCTCTTCCTTTTTCTTTTTCCTCTTTTATCATTCTCGACTTTACCCCTTTTACTTTGCTACAAAATGCGACAATATGAGCACAAATGTACGCGATACTCATCATTCATGGAACATTACCTAAAAAATTAAACCAATATGATAAAGTTCAAAACATGATTGATGATTTTGTACTTTAATTGTCGAATTTGTATCAAAAGGGATTATTTATAATGATCATTATTAAAGAGAACAATAGTAGAAGTTAATGTTCTCATTTGTTCTCTTAACCATTTTTTATTTATTTATATGTATATATGAACTAATGATGTTAAATCATAAAATATATACATTAATAATAAGATCGATAAAGTTTAAAATAATGAGTATAAAACAACGAACAACTACTTGAATAATAAGTATATTAATAAAAATAATTTCCTTGTAAAAAAAAAAAAAAAAAAAGTCCATAAAGAAAACTCTTCAAACTATCACAAAATTAACAAAATATATTTTTTAATTAAACTCAAATTTAAATAAACCATAATATTGATTAAAAAAAAGGCTAAGAACAATGTAGACAAATTTCTATAAATGAAAAACATTACTAATTACTTTTTTTTAAAAATTTATAATTGAAATAACTGATTTTATAAAATACAAAAAAAATAAACATTTCTCATTTTCTATAATCTCAAATAATAACTTTATATATTTATTTCAATCAAATATCAAATCAACTAAAATGATTCTCAATATCGATCATTAATAATTATTTAAAAACAAATCAATTATTTATAATTAAGTATGATTATTAGCTTCGGTACATATCGTTTTTTTGTATTCTAATTAATAAACATGTAAATTATACCAAAACAAAAAAAAAAAGTATACCTGTACTATTCTAATCATTATCGACATGCTTATAGGAAAACTTCTGTTTTTTTTTAAATTCTATTTAAACACTCTAATGTTATAATAAATTTTCTAATTGAATATCTTCTTAAAGAATGTTTAATCCTGCAAGTACTATATAATTATTCTAATATAACTATGTTTTATACTCACTTATTCTATGAATTTTATCTAAAAATTGTTGTATTTACATTTAAAAAATTTTGAGAGTATTGATACAAAAGCAAAAATTCAACCATGATAAGTTTAATAAATGGTTCTCAAGTAACGTCCTCTTTCATAACATTTGTGGCTGTTACAAATGTAAAAATTTTCTCTATAGAATTATGAAGAGATGTCACTATGGTGCAGTTAAGAAAAAAAAACCAATATCGTCATGCATCGGTTTTGTCTTTCGCATTAGTTCGGAATTTTCCATTCCTTGAGTGCGCACCTGACTCATTACTTTTCGTGACGTATCGTACGCATAGGGCACGTAGTAGTACACTATTGGAATAAATGAAATCATGTGGGGCTTACCACAACAAAAGAAACATGCACATATATATATAAAAAAAAAAATATATATATATATGCATATATTGTCATTTGTTTTTTCATTCGATGTAATCGCTGAAGTGAAAACTAAAGAGACTATAAATTAACCTATTCATTTGTATTCCTTCTATTCACCTTATATATACAAATACAAAAATTGAAATAAATGCTGCGTCATGATCACAATCGAGAAAAACCAATGGTTGAAGAAAAATCGATACATCGTCATGAATCTCATCATGGACGTTTAAATCGAAAATCAACTCTCATTATTGATCAGTTAAAAACAAAAGTTAAACGAAAAAGATTATCAAAACAAGATACATTGGATTTATATGATGAGACATTAAATCAAAATATAAATGGAAATATAAATAATAATAACAATAAACAATCAGAACCGAATCATCATGAATATCAACATAAAGAAACTTCAACAGTAATTCATACTCAATCAACTATACCATCAATCACAAATTTAAAAGAATCCGCATTCGATAATAATGGTATCACACATGATGATGATGATCATAGTATATTATAAATATTTAAGAAATAAAAATTGTTCATATTGTTGTTTTTTCTTCTTAGTTGTGCCTATTGAAAATAATGAACAAGATGTAATTGTTCCTAATGAAATCCATAATGATGAAGATATAGAAGAAAATGTTCAACAGCAAAGAAATTCTACAAAATCTGATAAAAGTAGAAAACTAACTAGATCACAATTGAAATCAAACTCTGTTACTGAAATAGCTAATCATTCCAATACAAAAAAACGACGATCAATGTTATGGCATACGGTATGGTTTTTTGCATCTAAGAAAAACAAAAATATTAATTTGACTAAATTATGAATATTTTATTTGACATAAATCATTGACGAGGGGGAGGATGGTGGCTTTTTTTTCTTATTACCCATCAATCAAATAGATAATATCAAATGTTTGATATTATAAAATTTTTGTTTTTTTGTTATGTAGAGTTTTCAAATTCGTGATGAAGATTTTCATACTATATTCAATGATTTACCATCAGATGAACAGTTAATTATCGGTAGGTGATATATGTTTGATTATTTTAATTACTGATCATGATTTATAGCTTATCCATGTGCTTGGAAAAAAGATGTATTCATGCATGGTCGAATTTTTCTCTCATTTAATTATTTATTATTTTATGCATGTTTTTTCAAATGGGAACAACGTGTAAGTGATTAAATGATTCTTTCCTTTTTTCTTATATGAATAGAAAATTTAATTTATTTAGTTATGTATTTCTTATAAAGATATTATTAGTGTAAAAAGAGAAAATTCTGCTATAGTTCTTCCAAATGCAATTAAATTGCGAACAAAAAATCAAGATGAATATTTATTTGCTACTTATATACCGAGAGAAAAAATTTTCATTTCTATATTTCGTTTATGGCAAAATGCTTTACTTGACCAAGTAATATTTTATTATTATTAAAAAAAAAACATGATTGTGTTAATTTTGTTTGCAGCCATTAGATTATCGACAAATACGAGCATTTGTTTTGGCTGATCAATATACTCATAATGAATCAAGTGATGACAGTGAAGAAAATAATGATGAAGATGATCATAGGGTAAAATTTACTAGAGTAAATAATTCATAGAAAAGTAGAATTAAAATATTATTCATGCAGATTTTTTAAAAATAAACTATCATACTTCCAAGGACTAGGTAACGGACTGATTAATTTTTTTCTTAATATATCACAAGTTTAGGTGAGGTGATTTTTTCTATTGGCAAATTTACCTATTATGAAATACGATATAAATACAAAAGAAAACAAATAATACTGTCTTCGTAAATTGCGTCTTAACTAATAAAAACTAATTTTCATACCTAATCTTCTTCAATCTTCAATTTTATGTATGAGATTGTATTAAATGAGAAGAAAGTAAATCGAGAAAATTAAAAATCTATAGAATTATTTATAAAACATTATGAAATTAATAGTGATGTTAGTTATTTAAGGCATATCAAAACTAGTGACGGAAGTTGTTTTTGTTATTCCCTATAAAAACTTTAAAGACATTTTCTCTACATGTAATCTGATAGTATGAACAATACACTACATTTTTCTCATTCTTCAACTAATATCATAATGATAAAATTTCAATAATAGCTGTTTTTGCTATGACATATGAAGGTAATATTCGATTAGATTTTTATTTTTTGATACGCAGAATCCTCTTAGTATGCTGTTTGTCTCTTTTGTTTCGTCTAATACATAGCTGTCTATATATATTCGTGAAGGTGATTGCACAAAAAAAGAAATATTAAAACGGGTTCATTAGGTTTTCTTTGAATCTGACTCCATATGATTAATGATATCTAAAAAAAAAATCTAAGCAATCAAAACGATTCCAAATCGTTGTAAACAATGTATAGACGTCTGGGATATTAGAAAAGATGAAAACATCAAGAAAAGGCTATATATTGAAAATGAAAATGTAATCGAATATAACCTTCACATATCATCACAAACAAATCTGTATCGAAATTTGACTATTGTGATATTAGTTAAAGAACGATTAAATATAAAAGAAATGCAGAGTATTTTTTTTAACTATTAGATTATATATAAAATTTCTTTAAACTCTTTATATGGAAATATAAAAAAAAAAAAAAAGAAGCTCCGCCATCAATTCTAGTATGCCATAAAGAGAAATTCCATGGAAAAATTTTCGAATACAATGCGTTTTTACTTCAGAAAATTTTTCGCGTGAATATCGATCGCAGTCTCAAGATTTCTCTAAGTTTTAGACTTTAGAAAATCAGATCAATAACTTTTTTTGTTCATCAAAAAAGAGAAAACTCATTTCGAATAGTATATTTTCTTTTTAATTGCATTGCTACATTAAAATTTAAAACTTTAACTATGATTTAATAGGTTAATGTAATAAATATTTTTCGAATAAAATCTAATTACTCATCTGTTCTTTTTTGCAGTCACGTCCTAGAAGATCGAATAGTTCAACGGAATCATTCATACAATCAGTAGAATCTCCGACACGAACAGTAGAACCTCCGACACAATCAATAGAACCTCTGACACAATCAATAGAACCTCCGAGACGATCAGAAGAATCATCTCGACGTACTATCTCATTCAAATTGGGTAAAATCTTTAATTGTATTGATAAAAGAAAGAATTTAATTTTTAATTCTATTTAGATGATGAAAATATAACTTATTTACGTACATGTACATGTGAAAGTCATCCCGGAAAAACATATGCAGATAAATTATTTAGTTTTAATGTTGATACACTTTTTGAATTATTATTTGGTGATAATTCATTTACACGTGATTTTCATAAAGAACAAAAGTTAATTGGTAAATTTCATTGTTAATATATACATATATATATAATATTCGATGATATTTTTCTTAGATTATACTTTTGGTGAATGGATTTTAAATACTGATACTGGAAAACGAGAACGTCTGGTAACATATAAAACAGTTAGTCAATCCGTTCTCGGTACTAGTATGCTTTCCTGTCGAGAAAAACAAGTATATTTACATATATTTGATTTTAATTTTTTAAACTTTTTTTTTGTTTTTTTCCTCATGATATTTTTTTAAAAGACGTTAGAAGTAGAAAAACCACATTTAATGTACATTCTAAATACAGAAGTATACAATGAAGGAATTAGATATACAGATACATTTTATGTTGCAACACGATTCTGTATGATACAATATGATGCTGAACATAGTTCATTACGAATTACTGCTGAAATGCGATACATTAAACATATCAATGGCTTTATTAAAAGTAAAAGAAAAGTGAAAATTTTTTATTTTCATTATTGAATTTTTGTTTTTGTTCTAGCAATTCTTGAAAAAGTTGTGAGTTCATCTATGGAAGGAGGAGTTAATAAGCAAGGTAAATTAAACTATTCTTCATAATATCAAGATAATACTTTCTATTTCAGTTCAAAGACTTGCAAATCATCAAGTAGTAAATATGGAACATAAGTCTAATCATAAATTAATGCCACCATCTCAAACACATTCAAAACAATCAATTGATAATATTATATCTCAAACAGAAAGTGATGAAAATTCATCAGTTGAGGCAACGAGTTCATCTGAATTTAAATTATCTCTTAAAGAAAAGACAATTACTGATGAACGTGGAGTATACAATATTGGTCTAGTTATTATTATGTGTTTTCTATTTGTTCATATTTATCTATGGTATAAATTAAATTCTATTGAGCAAGCTTTATTACCACCTGAGACAGTATGTTTCAATCAGTGTAGAAAAAGTTAGTTATTTGTTTTTCTTTTTAATTTACAAATAATATTTTCATTTCTTTTGTTTTCATTTTTAGATTGTTAACTAAAATGTACACATCAGTGAATATACCTTCATAATTTTATTTTTCCATGTCTTAATCTGTATGATTTTCATTTAAAAAAAAACGAACATATTCCATGAAATTTTGAGGCACTCAAACAACATGGATCTTTAGGTTTTTTTTATTGACGTAATTGTTTATTGATATGTTTTTCTCTATAATATGTATAAAATATTATATTTTTCATTTATTCTCACTTGGTGGGCCTTTTTTTTAATTTTGTATAAATAAAAAAATGCATATTGTTGCATTTGTTGTGACTATAGTATGATCATAGCACTATGTATTTAGTTATTTTTGTAGTTATGATCACTGATGTCTTCTCATTAATAATAATAAGAAGAAGAACAGATGTTAATTCTAGATTGTGATAGACTCATCAGACTACGATTATCTATTTTTCATTGATCCAAGAAGTAGTTAGAATATTGACGGCACTTTGGTCTAAAATCGTCAGTTTCAATATTCCTGCGACTATCTATGTCTTGAACTCAGTATTTGATATGAAAAAAAAAATATTATTCTCTAGGTAAAATACGATATATATTTTGATGAAAAAGAAATTTCGTTTGGTAAAATGATACAAGTATATAAGTCAAAATTGAATCATGAAAATATTATATTTAATAAATTCTTTATTGTTTTGCGTGTTCATATCTAGAAATATATTCCTTAGTGCTGGAGATAGTCTATAAAGTTTCAGCTCAATTGTCATACTGAACATGTATTTGCAAATATATTCTTCAAAGAAACTTCGACTAGCAAAAGTTCAATTTTTGAATGTTATCAAATTCTCTAGTAAAATTAGATTACACATTTCAAAATGTTTCTTTTTAAAATTGATCAATGAGTGTCCATTTTTTTTGTAAAACTTCAGTTCTCACTAGTCTTTATGTAGTAATCATTTAAATATGTTGTGTCGGATGGCATCTGTCATACTATTTCGAAGATCTTGTAGAACAGTGTGCATCAGTCAAATGGGGAAAAGCGTGACTTCAGTAATTCTAAGTACAGATGGATTGTTGTGAATAGACTTCTGCAAAGTGGTCACGGTCACGCGTGACCGTGACCGTGACTAATTTCGGAAAAATATCCGTGACTATGATCGTGATCGTGACCCGTGTTTCTAATAGAAATCGAAAAAATAAAAAGTCAAATGACATTTTATTTTTGTCATCAAAGTGTAAAATAGCACTCCATTTTTTAAGCAAAGTATCACAAAGTTTCCAAGGTGTTCATTATTAGAATTGAATTTAAAAAAAATGAAATATTTCATATGAATTTATCAGTGCTTTCCCACTTGAAGAAAGGCTCACATCCCGATTTCGCGAAGTTTAAGTTTTTGACAAATGAATTTTCAGTGTTTTTTTTCATTTTTCTTCTTATTAATTCTAAAAACATCACCGTAATCTACAAAATCTGGTCGAATCTAAAAGTGTCTTTCAATCGATCTTTTGAGCCGTTGATCTCACGCCTCTTTCTCGTAAATCGTGTAGATATCAAGGTTATGGTCGCACTTTAACTTTAAAACTACTTTGACACAGTACTTTCGGTCAAAGTTAATCATCTTAAGCTTTGAAGTTGAAGTAGATTTTTCCACAAAGTTTTTCGCAAAAAGATAGTATTTCTTTCATAAAAATATTGTTTATTTTAAAAAATCATTTCTTCATAAAAAGAATCACTTTTCTCACATTCATTTAGTTTTTTGAAAAAATAATTTCTTCACAAAAGAAGTAAAGAAAATTAATTTAACTTTCAAAAAGTGAAAGTTAAAGTCTAAAGGGCTCTTATTTTTATTTTGATTTAAATTTATAGTTAAAGTGTTACGCCTAATGGAAATACTCTTGGTACTTACATATAAGGACCAATAGACAATAAATGACTTTAAAGTACACCTTGAAATATTAATTCATATAATTCATTTATTCGATACATTGTTGAACCTCTTCCATATATAGTAAAATGTATATACCAAGCAGCTTCTCGAATCTTTTCAAATGCTTGTCGTTCTTCAGTATAATTATTATTAAATTGTAAATAAAGTGAAGATAAAAGAGCTTGAAAAACAAAAACGTGTTCTTTATTTTTTGTAAAGAAAAATAAAAATAACTAAATTATTGTTGGAAGGTCAATCATTTGATATTGTTGTTTCATTATATTATGATAAATTAGATAATTTATCAAGATTAAATCCTCTATCAGTAAAATTTGAAAAAATAAGTGTACCATTCTTAAATATTAATATATTGAAATTAACAAATAAAAAAACGAAGATTTTTTGTATTCTTCTTTTTATTTGATCTTTTGTTATTATTATCATTAATAATGCTGATTGTATATCTAAATTTGATATATGAAAATGATCTTGTTGTTTTTCAACAACCATTGTATCATGAAATGGAATGATTAAATTAACTTGATGATAAATCTTTGTTTTATTTAAATAAAAGATTTATTAATTAAAAAAAATTTCATTTCTTACTTTTCTAGCAAAATATATAAAAATTATTTCATATATCAAGTTTACCAGAAATACTTGAACAATTATATGATATTCATAAACGATATGCTACTTCACCATCTAGATGTTCATTTAATGGTAAACGAAAACTATATCGATAGATTTCACTGCGACATTTTGCATCAAAATCACATTTTAATTCAGATATTACTTTAGGTGCTTTTTTCTAAAAAACAAATTTACATGATTTAATTTCTATTCATGGAATTGAGAACGTATGAGTATTCAAGATTGTAGAATGAAGAGATTGACTTCATCGATCGACCATAGATATTAGTATCGTATTTTCTCGAGTATAAAAATGAATTCGAGATTTATGATCAATGTTGAGTACCTTCGTATATCTTTTTGTTTAGAAGTTAAGCAATTTAACCGAGTTCAAAAGACATAAGAAGTTATAATGTTACATATTCAAGAAATTGAACTCGCAAAAGATGACTTTGTCCATTGCAGAGATGCAGATCATCTTTATTCTCTATTATCTGAAAATACATCTCCTGCTGTTTTGATTTCCTGAATATGGGATAGCATTAGATTAAAGGAGTCTAATATATCTTTTTATGAGTGCGAAAGTCATGCAAGTCGTCAATTGAATTAAAGCCTATACCTTGGTCTCAAACAACAACTTTTTTTGTAATTTTTGGGGTAAAAGAATCCTACTTGTGATGAACATATTCAAAGCGATATGTCCTATCAGTAGGTCACGGTAAAAAAGATTAAATATCTTCACTCTAGTTCAATCAAATGAAAAATTTTTTATTAATGATAAAAGAATGTTCAAAGTTTTTGTTCATAAGAGAAACGTCAGTACATGTTGCATTAAGGTATTATGATTGGTTTCAATAAGGAAATATGACCTTCTACGATTTTCAAAAAGATTACTCCACATATGTAATCCAAGAGTTACTTTATATAAGCAAACTGAAGAAATTTCAACAAATTCGATTGGTTTTTATTTCGAAGTATAGAGGGATATTCTCCGTTTAATTTACTTTAGATAAAACTAGATCTCTTACAATTCAAAGTTGTTATGCATATACTACATCATCTCTTCTTTTCAAAACTTGTGAAAGATCATTATTCCTTCTTGAAGCTAATTGTATAATACCTTATCGCAACATTTATTGACGTTTCTCTTATGAACAAAAACTTTGAACATTAGTCTATCATCAACAAAAAATCATCTCATTTGATTAAAAACAATGTGGATATATTCAATTTTTTTGTGAAACATGATCTGAAAGGAGTGTTGAAGTATAGAGGTAGAAATTTGAGCTCATTCCTTCTGCAGACTGTGATAGACATAGTTACAAAACCAAAGTCTAATACAAGATAATTATGAAAACCAATTGAATTCTAGGTGCCTGTTTTTGGCTCTCTTTCTAAACTCACTGTAAACGTGTTACAATTAGCATCTTTCATCAGGGATACAAATTAATAGTATGTTGGAAATAACAAATTGAAATCTATGTTGAAGAATTCTTGATTTCCAATATATTCAGATTCATCGTATTTCATATTGTAATCTCGTAGAGATTGCACTAACAACTGTTTTTACTGTGACTCACTAGTGGGTCTAATCATCTCGAACGTGTTAATATATCGTTCGAGTGCTCGAGAAAAATCTGTACTTGTTCAGTTCTCTGTTCGAGGGAGAAACAACAGAGACATCAGTCTTGAAGCTCGTTGTTTTCTTCTCAGTTTTGTCGCTTAAGAATGGAGTGTTTTCTGTTGCTTATCATTTTTCAGTAAAAAAAATTTCAAACTAACTAATCTTCAATAATAGATTTTCCATAAGTAAAATTCTCTGTTGAGTTTTTCAACTGATCTCAAAAATTGGCATGTATGAGATTAATTGACTTTTGTCTTGATCCGAACAACTAACGAGGAAAGGTAACGGATTGATAAATCACTGTTAAAATTTTAATGATGCCAATTTGTAGAGCTTGTTGAATTATTAACTGATATAACAATCATTCGGACTAACAGTGCATTTAAGAGCAAATTTCTAGTAATCAAAATTTGCATCAGCCTATCCGTATCATAGATGTACATGTGTAACAAGATAAAATAGGTCTATTCCATGAAGTATCAACTACGAAAACACATGAGTTCTTTAAACACATCCAAAGTGATCCTATGTTGTAGAGCTCGATGAATTGTTCTTACAGTAAAATAATCAGTTTTCAAAACCGTTCTGTAGGAAGATACGGTTCGCACAAGTTTAGCTGGAAATTACTATAATTCTGAAAAAAAAATCAAAAAATTTGAAAATTTATTAAATTTTGCGGTCTTCACTTGTTTAATAATGTACGGACGACAACTAATTCCAATTATATATTCTTGTTCCCTAAGACCTGGCACATTCGCTCATATATCGCTTTGTAATTTTTCATTGATCTAGTAATAGTTCTGCCCAAGTCATACTGATGGTGCTTGGCAGTCTGTGGTAAGCAGTAGTTCCTGGAACTCAGTTCCTAGAAAATGTTATTAAGATGGATTCCCAAGTTTAATGACTTAGTGGATTTTGTAGAGCAGATTTTGCTCTATCAAATCCTATATTTGAAATTTTATTCCACCTTGAAATAATTGAAATATAGGCATTGACCTTTTTGTTGGCAATTATCTTTTCAAATATTTTGATTCTTTTGGAGTTGTGGTAATTTCCAGCTAAACTTGTGCGAACCATATCTTCCTACAGGAACGGTTGTGAAGACTAATTATTTTACTGTAAGAACAATTCATCGAGCTCTACAAGATAAGATAACGTTCAATGGGTTTAAAGAACTCATGTATTTTCGTAGTTGATACTCCATGGAATAGACCTATTTTATCTTCTGACACATGTACATCGATGGTATGGATAGGCTGATGCAAACTTTGATTATCAGAAAATTACTCTTAAACATACTGTTGGCCCGAACGATTATTATATCAGTCAATAACTCAACAAGCTCTACAAATTAGTATCACTAAAATTTTAAAAGCAATTTATCAATCTGTTGCCTTCCATCGTAAGATCAATATTATTCTCATAGATATCTACTCTACTCTTTTCTGTTACAAAAGAATTTCTTCTTTAATCAAAAAAATGTAACAATATAAATACTTACTTTATGACAGTAGGAAAATCTTCTTCATGAAATGCACCTTTTTGAGATAACAATCTGTTTCAAAGAAAACGATTATCATAAACTAATTTTAACATTAAAATCTTTACTTTTGCACAGCAAAATTTGCTATTTGTTCCATTATTTGAAATGTTTCTTCTGTTTTTCTAAACATTGTAAAATCATGTACATGTAAACGAGTACATACACGTATTGTTTCTCATACATAATTATGTATATGTTCAATTGACTATAAATAAATATATTATTATCATGAGCACAATATTTAATATAACTTACAATAATATCTGTAAATATAATAACAAGTATTATATCCTTTCCAAGTATACTTGAATAAAAAACATAAATAATTTACAGATAAATAAAGTAAACCTTGATGAGGTACACGACCATGCCAATAAGAACATGAATAATCTTTAAAAAAAAGATCCATATTTTACAAAAAAAAAAAGAGATGAAAATTGACTTTTTAAAGTATACTTGCGGATTACAAGTTTTTCATTTACTGACATATTAAATAATTTGTGAAATTTTTTCATTTCATTCATTTGAAGCCTTATCCAAGAAAATTCAAATATCTCATTTGATAAATTTTTTTTACTGCATTTGAAATGGCATCATCATAAATATGCGGAATTGAACGATCGTCCTCATCTACTTCATCCAAACCATCATCGAAGACTTCATCTTGATAACGGAAAGTATCATTTTGTACATAGTACTTTTTTTGATTGTCGTGGAGTCAATACGAATGTTTGCATGAAGCGACATATCGGATCATCATTATTCGATAATTCACCGGTAACCTAAAGAAAATATAAAAAACAATGTTATTTTTTATGTTTACAAATTTTCGTTGAGAAAAACAAACATTGTAATTAATAAAATTAACCTGAACGACAACTTCATTACACCGATAGTTGGATGTGAATCGATCTGACTAATTTTTGCATGGCAATCTCGTAAATTAAGATCATTAATTCGCTAAGAAATATTTTCCAAACCGACAACAAGTTATCAACACAACTTGGTCGATCAACACCACCATGAATGTAAAATGTAGATTTAAAGAAAAATAATACTGATGAACGAATGCACGACATACCTAATTAAATAATCATATGAAATTCCTAAAGAAAGCAAAGAAATAAACACTTACATCAAACGAGATGGGGCTTATTTGTAGCATATTATTAGTTTGTTGAAGAGACAAGATGGGATGAGGTTATTCGTTTAGCAGGTGTTCCACCATGAATTTGTAGTAACATTAAAGCTAGTGTTCCCTACTATGAAAAAATGTTTCACCTTGTGATATTAACATTATCAGAAGGTGAAACACTTTTTCACAGTGGGGAATACCAGCTTTAATGATACCTAGCTTATAATGAAATACAATAGAACACCTGCTAAATGAATATCTGGGATGAGATCTAAAATCAAAGAAAGGTGATCGAGACAATTCATTGGTTAATAATGGTAATACAATAAATGAGTGAGAGAAAGAACAAAGGTGGACAGATGATACGCCAATGTATAAATGCAGCTGCTAACAAAACAGACAAAAGTTAGCAGCAAAATGAGAGGTTGATAAAACAGAGGTCATATAGCAGTGCTTCCAAGATATTGTGCAGTATTATTTGTATTAGATGTTGCTACTTGTCAATATTGTTTGGTCGCAAAAATTACATCGAAAATGAAATAAATTCTTCATGACTACGAAGAAACAATTTTATATTGCATGCATGATCAAGTTTTTGTTTCATATATGAGTTTTTTATTTTCTTGCACATTCTCTACAATGACACAATATAGATGAAAGCAAAATCATATCTATCACTTTATCTTCATCAATAATTTTATGAAAACAAGAATTAGATAAGCAATAAAGAATATTAAATAATTCGATTTGCCATTGTTTGTTTATCAAAAATAAACTATTTACTTTTGATCTGGTCTTATGTGAATTTTTTTGTGAAAGGCTATATGAAAAAAAAATACTTAAATTATATCCATCACTTATTGTTTGTTCATTGTCTAATGTATAGATTGGCCGTCCGTTTATTATTATTATTATTTTTTTGATATATTCATATTGCGAGATTGATCATTCGTCATCATTGTATAAGAAAAATAAAAACGATTAACTAATACAATTGTAATAGCGATATGAACTGGTCGAAGTGAACGAACAATAGAGTATGTATAAAAGTATCGAATAAATGTATATAGAATAAATCAATGAACCATGAAATTGGATGAACTGCCATATGAACTATTATTTAAAATTTCAACTTATTTGACACTTTTCGACATTGGATACTCATTAATCGGTGTGTGCAATCTTCTGGATAAATTGCTTAGTGGAAATAAAAATGATCGTCGTACATTGGCTTTTCATAATGGTCATTGTTCATATTCTCTTTATCGAGCTTTTCTGGATGATCACAATGGTTTTCGTACACGTTGTTTGAATATGTTTATTCGTTCGTTAATACTTGATGGTTTTTGCAACGTAGTCTATACCTATGATATTCTCTCTCGATGGGCTAATAGCACACCTCCATTCTTGCCTTCTGTACAAGAACTGACTCTCTCTAATATGGAATTTTTTTACAAAAATACCTCAAAATCGCTTGCCTTTATTCTTACTTGTGGTACTAGCACTAATATCATTGGACAACTTGACAAATTTACATTGATTTCTGCCAATGCCGGTCCATGGTACGTTATAATTCTTCATGAATTCATCTTCTTTCACGCTTCTTTCCATACAATGATCTTTCATGTAACTGATGGTATGTACGATAATAAAAAAGAAAGAAAACTAAAGATTTCTTTCGTCATTGAGATTAATTATTCAATTCAGTTTCTCATCACATCTCAGAATATGTCCGAATAATTTATAAAAAGAAACAAATAGTAGTTAGAATGATATTTTTTAATTTGCTAACTTTTGATATTAATGATTTTGATATGTTTGTCATTTTTCTTTTGTGCTCAAATTCATGCTTTCATAAACAGGCTAAAAATATTTTAGTTACATTTTATATGTTGATTCTAGAAATTATCATATGATTGTTTACAAATACAACTATTTAATGACGACAATAGCAGTTTTCTTGATATTATAGATTTTTTTTTGCATCATATAATATCATAACCAATAAGTATTTAATTTACTTCTTTATAGATATAATACAAAATAAAAATAATTGATATGTAATTTATTCGGATTTTTTATATTTATAGGAATGGAAACTTGGTACGAGACAGGTCGAGGAAGCTTGTACGTTTTAATCGGTGTTTCTGGACGGCAGCCTTGCTTTTCACGCACTGTCTATTTAACATTGTCTCTTAAACGCTTCACAGAACTGTTACTTCTACTACAACCAAGTGCAACACCTTGTCTTGAACAGTTAACTGTGACGTTTGAATGTAACGATTCAACTGCTTGTAATTTAGAACATATTTATGAACTCACGAACATATTAACCGAATCTTATATAGCAACAATGAATGTGATACACTTACATACACTTACATTGCGTGGTAGTGATGATAGTGATTTTTCGATGAGCAACGTCTTATTGATTATTCGTTATTTGAAAATGCCCAATCTCAAATCATTGACATTAATTTATGTACAGACTTCATGTAAGTAAAGTAGTAATAAAATGTTTGGTTACTTCTAGTATTTAATCTAACTACTATGTGAAACTAAAATATTATTTTAGTATTGAGTCAACTCATCGAATTTCGACAAGCTATACATTCAAGTTCTCTTTGGCTTTCACTCAATTATTTCCGTTTCTCTCTATGTCTGCCTGCTACATTACGTTATAAATACGTACGTCATACCATTGAAGAACATTTGTCTTCTGCAATGTTAGTTGTTTATACCTATACATGCAATTTACAAAATGATCGTATCTTGGTAAATCATCGATTTGTTGCACGTACTATTGATCATGATCAACAGGCAAATGTACAACATATGGTATGGTTGTGCAGAAATAGTAATATTGGCGGCATCAATTTACATTCATCGGATACTATTGAACATAGTTTACGAATTCTCTCTCATGTATATCACTTAAAGTGGCATTGGTACATGCCACCAATCGGAGTTTCAGCATCGGTAAGAAATTTAATGAAATAATTTTTTTTGTTTTTATTGTTCTATGATAGGATTTCATGCAACGCAATTCTTATTTTCCTCCTCTTCATCTTCGCTCTATACATCTCCAAGTGATTGGTATTGATGACGCACAAGCAGTAATTTATGCAAGTTTACTACGAAATTTACTAACAAATGCAGTTCTTCTTCAATGTCTGAGCGTTCCATGGAGCATAGTACGTGAATTAGGTCATTGTTGTTCTTCTTCAGCACAATCGTATCGTCTTGGAAGTTTATTTTTACGCTTTGGACGGTCACAACCCATTTTTGGACAACCAGAACCTAGTTATGAACCAGTGGATGGTTCAATGCTAGCTCTACTATTTCCACGTTTACGTCTTTGTCATTGTATGGAGGTTTTTATCTAATGGATAAGCCACTGGTCAATATGTTACAGAATCTGATTGATTCTTTTACTTCTGTCAATCATGTTTTTAATATGCTTCACGTGTCGTGTACATTTGCCCGTGCACTTCCATGTCCACGAAAACATTTTGTAGTGACTGAAATTCGCAAACGACTTTGTCTTACACGTGACCGTTCAACTTTTTTATTGTATGCTTGGGAACACTATGGTGTTGGTCAGCTGACTATTTGGTTGTAAATTGAATAAAAAAAATTCTCTCACTCTAAACTTGTGATGTTTATTGTATTAATAAGAAGCGTAATATGAATATAAAATAAACAAGATAATTTGTGCTGTTTCATTAGTATTTTTATGAAAAAGTTTTATCTTAATATTTCATCATTTTTACTAGAAACTGCTTTCTAGTTACAGAGGTATAGCTTACTACTTAATACTAATAATTGTTAAAATAATATACAGCATATCTAAAAAAAAAGCATACCACTGAAAAAAGGTTTTTATTGCAGAAGAAAACAATTCATTGTAAGTTTCATATGATAAAATAGTTTACTTCAACATATATGTAAGTATGTGCGGACTTTTTGATCAGATGTATTCGTCTGTTTATCACAAAGATGTATCATATATACTGACAAGTATCAGCATTAGATTGGAACATTTTTTTAGTGCAGCTCGAGGAAAGATTGAGCTCAGTAGGATGGAAGTGATCCTAAAATAATAAAATAATTTCTTTAAATAACAGATTTTGCTCATTATGTTAAATGAATATGATGATGTTGGAATCTCGTCAATTTCTCAATGACGTATTTCTTTTGAATCATTCTTTACAACAATAGATAGGCAGTATGAGCAATAGTCATTCAATATACAGAACGAAACAGGTTAGAAATGTATATTCTATGTATACATATGCGTTAGTTTAATTCGTTCTCTTTCACACTTTTTCGTTTTCTTTTTATCATTATCAGTATATCACCAAATACAACAACATTATTTTTCTTCAAGTGAGTTATCTGTCTAACTATTTTGTCATCACTATTACCATTAACTTTTTATAAAGTATTCAAAGAACAAATTGTTAGAATCAATCTTATTGTGTGTCTGAATAGCCTTCGTTTAAGAAAAGAAATCGTTTCCATCAATAGTTATTTATTTTTCTGATCCATTATGAGCATGAGATGATCTTAAAACATTTCAAAAGAATACTAAAATGTTGGTAAAGTTGCAATATTAGTTTTCCTTGCTATAATTTTCGTTGTTTGCATTTGTATTAATAAAGATGCCCTTTAATGAAAAATTTGAATAAAATATTTTTCTAAAAAAATATTCGATTATTTAAAGTCTATAATTCTTTTAACATCATTCTGCTGTTTAAGTTTGATGTAATCTAATGCAAAAAAAAAACCAATCGCTGGAGTAAACATATTTTAAGGATGAGGGTGATAAATTTTTAATCATCTACTAAAAAGTTTATTTGATTATTACTTATTTAGAATAAAGATGATCGCAAATATTCTTCAAGAGCACAGTGCTACATCTTATGGTTACTTAGCAACACGAGGTGTGGCTACATGTGTAGCAGTTATCGTAATATTTGTCAATTCTACAATGATTTTTATTGAGTATATTAGTGCTGAACGTTTGTTCAGGGATATGCCGACTGTCAATGGTACACAACGACGACTGGAACTTATAGTTCGTCATATTTTTCAACGAGTCGGTTCAACGGCAGTCATCCGATCTGTTCTATTGTTGGGTGGTGTTGTTCAGTCTTCATATGAAGCTCTTGAATTGATCATCAATATTTTATGTCATAGACGAGCGACAATACATGCTATTACAAGTCGTGCTACAGATAATCAACTTCGAAATTTTCTTGATGCAATTGTTCTTATTCGTCTACAATTAAATTCAGATGCATTATTTAGAGGTGATACGGAACATATTGTATATCAGATGTCAATTGTAGTTACCATTGACCAAACTGATAATTCTGGACGTTTGATGATTTCTCAAATAAAAGAGATTAATTGCCGCGATTCAGACATACTACAGATGGTCATTTTGGATGCAAGATCAGGCGAGATGTTAGTTTATGGTCAACGATCGATTGTCAATGATACTTGATCTTTCTATCCTAATCCAATATCCAACGACCATCGACCACTGGCGGTAAAAATGGCGGCATTAATGAGTATTGTGGAAGAAATGAAGCCTATTTCTCCAAATGAATCTGTTGATGAAGTTGACATGAATGATAGCATATCGGACGATGAAGAAGGTGATATTTAAATCTAACAAGACTTTTTCCTTTCTTCTTTTTTTTTTTTACTCGTTAATATTTTTCTTTCTTATATAACATTAAATAGTTAAAATAAAAAAAATTCGAATGACAAAGTTCTTATTCGCTTAGATTGAAAAATCTTTGATAAATCTTTGAATTATTTTGAATATTTTAGATAATGTATTAATGAAATTATGCATATTTTTAATAACAGAAAATATGCTAATATATTGATGTATAATACAAGCATTACTGTTAACTTATCAAAATGTTTGATTATCAAATAACAAACAAGCGACTGATTTCTGATGATTAATGTATTCTTTGGAGATATCACTCGTCTCTATTGACCATAAACGAACTTCGTCATCAGAGCATACTAAATTAAAGAGATGAAAATAATAGAAAAATAAATAAAAACGAAAAAAAAAATACCAACGCAAACTTCTTACGAGAAATAATGAATCCGATGTAAATGTACAATCCCATAGCCAGTTCAATAAACAATCATGTTGCAATTCATATTAACAAGCAAAATCAGATGTACGTCAAATTTTAGCTGCACCATCGGCTGATGTATTGACTATTCAACTAAGAAAAATAAAGTCATATATTTAAAAAGAAAAAAACTTATAGTGAAAGAAG